GAGTAAACATAAGTTACTAATAATAATTAAATCAATCTTTTATAAGTTAAATTAAGTCCTAATGATAAACTGAACATGGAATAATATACTAATAGTGTTAGTTACCACAAGTAAACATAAACTTTCACTAGAAGAGTTTTAGAACCTTGAGATTTGGTTATTAGTACAACAATACGTTTTGCCTAAGATTCTATTGTAGCCACATTAATATATATACACCTGTGAATATATCATAAAATTAAAGGTCAGTTAACCCATCAAGCCCATGATATTATCTATCATGAGTAACCTTTTTTTACTTGGACCCTTAATACTTGACTAACTTCAATATAATTTGTGACGATCCAATTCTAACTCGATTGGATAACAAAATCACCAACTTTTTAAGCTTTAACCATTTAACCCAAAAAAGAGTAAATATAAGTTAATAATAATAAGTCAATCAATCTTTTATAGGTTAACTTAAGTCCCAATGATAAACTAAACATGTGATAATATACTAATAGTGTTAGTTACCACAAGTAAGCATAAGCTTTCACTAGAAGAGTTTTAGAACCTCAAGATTTGTTTATTAGTACAACAATACTTTTTGCCTAAGATTCTAGTGTCGTCACATTAATATATATACAATTGTGAATACATCATAAAATTAAAGATTAGTTAACCCATCAAACCCATGATATTATCTATCATGAGTAGCCTTTTTTTACTTGGACCATTAATACTAGACTAACTTCAATATAATTTATCACGATCCAATTCTACCTCGATCAGATAACTAAATAACCATCTTTTTAAGCTTTAACCATTTAACCCAAAAAAGGATAAACTAAGTTAATAATAATAAGTCAATCAATCTTTTATAAGTTAACTTAGGTCCTAATAATAAACTGAACATAGGATAATATACTAATAGTGTTAGTTACCACAAGTAAGCATAAGCTTTCACTAGAAGAGTTTTATAACCTCGAGATTTGGTTATTAGTACAACAATACTCTTTGCCTATGATTCTATTATTACCACATTAATATATATAATTGTGAATATATCATAAAATTAAAGATAGTAATAAAGAAAAGTAAACAATAAATGTTCACTATGACTTCGTGCAAGCCTCCTTTAGAGGAAGTCCTCTAGTGTCTTCTCTCACAAAACAAAACAATGAAATCAGACTATAGGTGAAGAATTATCTTCTATTTGTATATCCTTAATTTAACTTATTATTTCATTGTGTCTAATCCTTTTTCCTTTAATTAAATTGCCCAGGTTGATCCAAAAGGAGAAGAATAAACTTAAATATAAATAAAAATTTGACTTGCAATTCAAGGTCTAGCTATCCTTATGTAGCATTTTTGGTGACTCCAACCATCTTTCATTTTTGACTTAATTTTCTTGACATCTTGTGATTAATTAACCGATAATAGATAATGAATGCCTATTCCAACACTTGTATTAACTAAAAGCTTTAATAAAAAAAAAGTAATGTAGCACTACAGCATAGAAGAAATTTCAAAGGAGTTTAAGGGATTTAATTGGGATTGGAATCAAGAAGAAGATGTGAAATTCTTGTAACTAAGTTTGATTTTTATGGAAAGTAAAAACCGGAGATTAATGTGAAGAACAAAGAAAATATTAAATGATATAAACAAAAAAGAAATCATAAACATCAATCTTCTCATGGATGGAGTTTTCACACATCACGTCAGACGTGAGATAGAATCACATTATAAACTCCCTCTCCTCATGCTAAATTTCATCTACATCATAGTTTCACTTCTTATTTACTTTTTATTTAAAACTCCAAATATAAGAAAAAAGATAGACAACTAAGACAATTATTAATGATTTTTGTTTTTCTTAAACTAAGGAGTAACCAAACTGATCATTCCGATTATCTTTTATGGGGATTCTTTGGTGTCAATTGTTACTAGGGGAGATTGTTTTTCTTATCCACAATATCTTTCCCCTATATTAATTCTTTCTATATGAAGCTTCTTTAATCAAACTCACCTTCCCAATAATCTTATGCTTAACTTATCTTCCTTTTTTCATGTTTGATTTGTTATATGACTTAATCTATTACATCTATGGAAAAGATTGAACTAACAAAAAGTTATTAAAGATTAGAATAAAACAAACAATGTATTTGTCTCACAACTGCATTTGATATCTAAATTAATGGATTTCTCATCAGTAACGATTAGATTAATCTAAGAGTGATTTGGGAAGTATTCGGGGGGTAAAAGTCTTGTACGTCTCTTTTCTTTTTCCTCGTTCATCATAAAAAGGAGGATCAATCCATCATCAAACAATCACCTCCGATATCATTATAATATCTACGAATCATGTGTCATATCGGATAAAAAGGTGTTCCTAAATCTAAGCTACAGATGTCATAGTAATGTCTCGATCGTACATCACGCGTGCAGTAGCGTTGTTACCATGAGAGGACCAACAAAGTTTTTTCGCCACTAATCTCGGGACTCATATATCAGCAAATTGAAGTTTCCAAGATAGATTTTGTCATCTTAACCTTCAAGTCAGTGCTAACTGAGATCTTGCCCTACAGAAAGGTTAAGCTTCTAAGAATGTAACATGAGACATGTACGAGGCAATAATGGAGAAGTGGCAGCCGAAACAAAATTATACTAGCTAGATAAACCAAGTAGCAGAATTAAGATATCAAGAAACATCTTCCAATAATGTAACATGAAAAATGAGAAAAACTACTGATGAGAGCCATGACAGTGCATACAGAATTATATTACACATGTCGATAAACCAAGCGATACCTCCAGAAAATAAAACAAATTATGCTGCTTTGGTAGACGAACATTCCATTGAAATGATGGTGCAAGATAGAAAACACGACAAGACAGTCAACTGAATAAAGAGAAAAAGGCGGAAGTGATGGATCGCCCCCAAACTAAATGGATCTCCTCTACCGCACCCGCATCGGCAGGCCCGTACCAGCTCCCTGCCGTCGGATCAAGAGCGAGAGAGGAGGTAACCGAAGGCCTAACTACTCAGAGACGGACGGACCAAATGCCTAGGGTTTTGAGGTGAATCTTGAAATATTCATTAGGCGGTGGTGGCGATGAAGGGATCGTGATATTAAGAGTCGTAATATAAAAAGCAAGAGGTTAGGGCCGTGGAGTTGACGTACCTGGAAACGCTGGAGAACTCGTAGAGCGACCTCGGCGTCGCAGAGCACGGAGAGCTCGTAGGCTTTCTTGAACAGGCCGCTCCGCCGCTTGGAGAAGCACACCTGGCGGCTGGTGCGGTCCTCGACCCGCCGCAGCTCCGCCCTCCCTCGCCGCGCCATTTTCCTTCTCTTCGAAACCCTATCTGCGAGACGCTAAAGGCAGGCCTTGAGGCAGAATAAGACGGTGAAGGAGACACGTCGCCGTCGACGATGAACGATGGCGGTGCTATGAGGAAGCACCTGTATTGGTGGTCCCCTCCCTCGGATGCCGCACATGAGGAGACTGCGCCTCGGCTGTCCTCCGCAGGCACACGATAACGCACACTCGCGGAGAAACCGTGGGCCCCTCACCATTGGAATCTTGGGCGGTGGATAACCTTGGGCGCCTTTTGACAAACTGTTCCAAATAATATCTTTCCTCCTACGGAAAGAGTACAGTTATACTCACGAGTGTAGTTGTGAAGCCCCGTATTTTTATACTCTGCTGTCCATCTTAAAATATTCTTCGATGTGTAAAAGCAATTAGAGGACGAATAAAAGAAGGGGACGTGTCCAAACGAATCGTAATACAAAAGTTATCTGAACGGACGCACGAGGAAGCCAACGGACAAAGGTCGCACCATCCACGAACGTATTTCGTGCGGGGATAATGATAGATCAATTTACATAGGACAAGGAGAGGTGGTTGCGGTGGGATGCTTTATCTTCCTACCATACTTGTGTCTATAATGTATTTCTTATTAGTACAAACAAGTTAACAACTTTTTCTAAATACTTTTAGAAATTGTTCAAAGTTCAAAACAACATATTTGACTCCAAAAATTATTCATAATATATATCCCTTGTAGCCACTCGTTCAACAAACATATGTTTAAAACGATACCGTAGACAAAGATAAATTTTCCTGAATACTAAAATTTTCTGAACGTACGCAAACATAAAATTTTCTGAATACTAAACAGACACTTATTGTACCTGATGATAATTGGTTTAAGGGCTTTAAAATACTTTATTGTATATATTATCGTGAGTACCACGTGTCGTTCCGTTGGTTTGGGTATAGTTGTAACAGCAGAAGGCATCAAAACAACTGTGACACAGCGACATGGCTCCCGAACTATCGGGAAACCGAAGGATTGGTCCAGACGCGACACCGCACACCGCTTACACTAATAGAAGAGGACAACGATAGCCCCGACGGCTTCCTACGGCGTATCGACCTCCGGCTGCGACGACCGTGAAGGCGGTCGCCACCAAGCAGCGTAGCGGCCCTCCGCGTTCCCCGGTGACGTTCCCGCTGCTTCCGCTGCCGCGCTGTTGTCGGCGATCTTCTTCGAGTCGCTTCCCTCCTCCATGATTAACGCCTAACAAACAAGAACAGGAGCATAATGACATGATCGATCCACATAGACGGAGAGCAAAGAAATAAAAGGTGTGCTTGCGAGTGTTCTACTTACAGATTGCAAAAGTCTTCTCTCCTCAAGTAATGATTTCTCCTGGGTCAGATCAGATGGACATATTTGATCAGCAAATGATACATAAAAGGAGTAGCAAGCTGCATGCAAGTTTTTTGTTTAGGTGATATGATCATGCTTGAGAAAATTGGCCTTCATGGGTTGAATGTGAAGATCATCTCTGCAGGCGCCTGCAGGTGGTGAGCTCTTGTGATAAGATAGCATTCTGAGAAGTGCCATGGTGAGTAACTACGTCCCTTTTAGGGTTTAATGGTTGGAGTAAGTGTTGATACCTACTTGCCACCATGGAGTTCTATTCTGCATCTATACACTTCAGAGTTATTTAGAATACTATGCATCTCCTCCTGTGTATCAAATCATTTTTCTATTCCCTGAGAGAATAGGTCACAGTAGATTGGAGGAGCTGCATCATTCATCAAGCCAGATCTTAGTAAATTTTGGTTATATACCACGACAATGGATGAGCCCTAGAAAACATAGTAAAAGGGGGAAAAAGTCCAATTCATGAAGTTATTTAAGTTCAGAAAAGAAAACAGAAGAAAAGAACAAAATGGTGGTAGGTATGTGAATCTGTGCTATTCATCAGTAGGAATCACATCCTAGCCATAGGAAGCAGGATTCAGCAAGCAATGAAAAAATAAACCACATGATATTTGCATGCTATATTGTAACAGAAATGGATAACGAATATAATAACAAGCACGATTACATTAAAATAATGTGCTAATATTTAGCAAACTACTGTATCCTCTTAATTAAAGTTACCTTCGCAGAAAGGTTGGCTAATGAATCCATCATCGACTGATCCTGCAAGAACAGAAGATGATTAGATATTGCTACAACAGCTGTCTCTTTCCCATTATAAGTGGATTTTCTCAAGGAAAATTAATCAATTCCCCTAAACATACATCAATCATATATACCCTCCAAACATACTCTAATGTGCTCAAATGGCTAGCCATATGCATGTATAAAAATCACACCTTAGGTTGATACAAGAAAATATTTGGAAATGTATGTAAAAGGAACGTCTACCCCGCATTTCTTAGCTGGTTGAATTCTGAGATAACAATAATGTGAACTTCAGAGAGCTAGGGCTTTTATCAACATTAGATGCTGTCCAATTAATTACGATATTCTCAATATCGAAGTTTTATTATCTAAGGGTTACTACACAATAATCTAGTAATTATCATTCTACTCTTCAGGCCAAAACAGAAGTTGGATAACCTTGTCACTGAATTTTTTATTGGCTCGGACCACATTTGATTATTCATGTAACTGAAAGGTTCTCCATTACCTAGTGTTTATATATCAGCTAGTTGCTGAAGAAGATAAAAGCATGAGATTTGGTCGAGGAGAGACATAAAGGACATTAGTTACTTTTTGGTGTAATAGGATGAGGTAGTCACACAGACACTTGAATAGACTTGAACAAGTTACTTGGAAGTCCTTTCTTTCCCTAGTATAGTTGAAGCAAGCCTCCTCACAAACTAACGTGATCCTTTCGGTAAACAGATCACCCATGCAAAAGCTTTTTTGCTCTTCCTTTGATGCGATAAGACAATTTTGTTGACTGAATCTGTCATTGATCATCAAGTATGATCCTCTTATTAGATTAGATGGCGTAGGTGATTATTTATTCATTTATCATCAAAGTTTCATAGTACATATTGATATTGGTGATAAAATTAGAGATGTTAAAAGAATGATCAATAACTTATATGAGCATTACAGTGCTAACTATAGTAGAGAACATGGTACCTGAAACTTCTAAATCTACTGATCAAGTTAGCAACAAGGGTAAAATCTTTAAGGGAGAACAACTATTATTACAAGGTCAAAACAGACCAAGGGATCCTCAAGATAAAGCTCCAAGCCTAATATGTATCTAACAACTTTTGAGTTTAGTGACAGCATTACCACTATAGAGTTTCCTATTCTGGAATGGTGAGCGTGATACACAACATTTCCAATCTTAGCGAAGATCACGAGGCAAATACTAGTGACTCAAGCATAACCCCCGAATCAGTGGAAGCTCAAGCCTGCCTCGACAATTGGACAAGGGCAATGAAAACAGTTAATGACAGTGCTAAATCCATGACTTTCATGTTATGTTGACTTGCCGTGTCCTAGATTTTGACTAGAGTTTACTGTGTTTTTGTCATGTGGTAAGTGATGAGGATGGTATTCAATCCCAAGACCTTGTTATTAACAGTTAAAGCCATCTTTACCAGCTGAACCAACTAACATCCTCAAAGTTTCCTGTTCTTTGTTTTATGATTCCTAAGAAGCAATCTTTTTGAATCTTATTGAAGTTGTGTCAAAGAAACTATCATATTTAGTCTAACACAGTGTTTCATGAGTGTCAGTTGACACTCTTTCCCTTATGACTCAGTTGCCTGAAATGATTTTGACTCTAGTTTCATACCATGAAATAAACACCTCTCTAGATCAGTAGCAGTTTAATGATTTCAGATGTGACCATCATTGACCTCAGCCTCTAACTATACTAGCTTCCTGTTGTAATAAACATCAGACAAAATTGAATAATATAAAGGTGCCTGCATGAGAACATTTGCTAGATTTACCAAGGAATACCTTTTAGTAATGCTTGTGCTTTTTCTCCTGGACCTTCATGACTAGGATCAACCGAAATGATAAAGTGAGTTTGTATTTACACTACCTGATTTCACTAGCAGAACTTTGCTAACATATGACACTGTAGAATATTGGACTCTGTACTCCCCTGATCATCTGGCAGTGGTCAACTAGAGGTTTCTGCATAAGTGGCATAATAGATACTAGAGGTGCAGATCAGCACTCAAGATCTATTTCCTTGTCCCATAAGTTAATTTTTCGGCAACAATTCTGATATTCTTTTGTTAAATTTAGAAAATGTGACCTCATAGATCATTTTGCTGTGAAATATTATTTGCTACCCAATCACCATTATAACTATTTGCAAACTGAAAGAGAAGGTAGCTAGGCTTTGAGTAGCATAAATATAATATGGCAGAAGACTATGCTGCTTGTTCTGGTTGCGACTGCCTCTTAGGACACTAAGAAACGCTGTATGTATGTGGCCAGCCCTTTTTTATCTTTTAGGTGTCAGGTAGTTTCTGTTTTGGACATGAAAACACACTGATATATTCTAACATGGTGTTTCTGCCTCTTAGGACACTATTGAAGTTGTGTCAAAGAAACTATCATATTTAGTCTAACACGGTGTTTCATGAGTATCAGTTGACACTCTTTCCCTTATGACTCAGTTGCCTGAAATGATTTTGACTCTAGTTTCATACCATGAAATAAACACCTCTCTAGATCAGTAGCAGTTTAATGATTTCAGATGTGACCATCATTGACCTCAGCCTCTAACTATACTAGCTTCCTATTGTAATAAACATCATACAAAATTGAATAATATAAAGGTGCCTGCATGAGAACATTTGCTAGATTTACCAAGGAATACCTTTTAGTAATGCTTGTGCTTTTTCTCCTGGACCTTCATGATTAGGATCAACCGAAATGATAAAGTGAGTTTGTATTTACACTACCTGATTTCACTAGCAGAACTTTGCTAACATATGACACTGTAGAATATTGGACTCTGTACTCCCCTGATCTTCTGGCAGTGGTCAACTAGAGGTTTCTGCATAAGTGGCATAATAGATACTAGAGGTGCAGATCAGCACTCAAGATCTATTTCCTTGTCCCATAAGTTAATTTTTAGGCAACAATTCTGATATTCTTTTGTTAAATTTAGAAAATGTGACCTCATAGATCATTTTGCTGTGAAATATTATTTGCTACCCAACCACCATTATAACTATTTGCAAACTGAAAGAGAAGGTAGCTAGGCTTTGAGTAGCATAAATATAATATGGCAGAAGACTATGCTGCTTGTTCTGGTTGCGACTGCCTCTTAGGACACTTAGAAACTTTGTATGTATGTGGCCAGCCCTTTTTTATCTTTTAGTTGTCAGGTAGTTTCTGTTTTGGACATGAAAACACATTGATATATTCTAACACGGTGTTTCTGCCTCTTAGGACACTATTGAAGTTGTGTCAAGGAAACTATCATATTTAGTCTAACACGGTGTTTCATGAGTGTCAGTTGACACTCTTTCCCTTATGACTCAGTTGCCTGAAATGATTTTGACTCTAGTTTCATACCATGAAATAAACACCTCTCTAGATCAGTAGCAGTTTAATGATTTCAGATGTGACCATCATTGACCTCAGCCTCTAACTATACTAGCTTCCTGTTGTAATAAACATCATAGAAAATTGAATACTATAAAGGTGCTTGCATGAGAACATTTGCTAGATTTACCAAGGAATACCTTTTAGTAATGCTTGTGCTTTTTCTCCTGGACCTTCATGACTAGGATCAACTGAAATGATAAAGTGAGTTTGTATTTACACTACCTGATTTCACTAGCAGAACTTTGCTAACATATGACACTGTAGAATATTGGACTCTGTACTCCCCTGATCTTCTGGCAGTGGTCAACTAGAGGTTTCTGCATAAGTGGCATAATAGATACTAGAGGTGCAGATCAGCACTCAAGATCTATTTCCTTGTCCCATAAGTTAATTTTTAGGCAACAATTCTGATATTCTTTTGTTAAATTTAGAAAATGTGACCTCATAGATCATTTTGCTGTGAAATATTATTTGCTACCCAATCACCATTATAACTATTTGCAAACTGAAAGAGAAGGTAGCTAGGCTTCGAGTAGCATAAATATAATATGGCAGAAGACTATGCTGCTTGTTCTGGTTGCGACTGCCTCTTAGGACACTTAGACACGCTGTATGTATGTGGCCAGCCCTTTTTTATCTTTTAGGTGTCAGGTAGTTTCTGTTTTGGACATGAAAACACATTGATATATTCTATCCCTTCAACTTAAAACTAAACAGCTAAATTGGGAAACATCATTGCACTTTATTTTGGGTTTAGAACATGGTCAAGTATTCTCATCCTTCTTGTTCTCAGCATTAAAATATTCTCTATTAGGTGATATTAGGTGAAACAATTCACCTAAGAGTTTAAGAATATTTTTTCTCAAATCAAGGTAGAATGATTTGTTTAGCCAATAGTTCTTTGACTGGAGCACTGGTGTCTACTGTAGTTAAACTCTTGGTATCAACATCCATGAATATGATAGACTTTTATAGTAATATATGGCTGATATTTCTGCATTCCATATGCAAGTTAAACATGCTTAATATTTGTGTGAGATAAATACTCTGACCTTTCTAGATCTTATCCATTTTAGTGCAACACATATATCATTCTCCAGCCGGTCAAGGTCATCCATATTCAGCTTGTCAAAATCTGTTCCAAAAACCCTTCACAAGGAACAAAAAATATTAGGGAAAATTTATGCCAGATCTCTTTTGATATAGGCACATTTAAAGTCAAATTATAACCTTTCAACAATCTCCAGTAGTTTGGAATTGCCTTCTGAATGCGCAAATCCTTGTTCATTATTCTGTGGCATCATTAGTATGTAATGAAAAAAAATCTAATAAATTAGTGAAAAATTTAGCATGTTACTGAAAAGAGTGGACATGTTTATATTCAGATTCATCTTCTAAAAGTAATAAAGATGTGTAAAGACTGTCTGACATTTGCCCTTGAGATAAATGACCTACAGTTACACATCCTTGTTGTGAAGAATACTTCCAACCTTATCTAGCCAGTTCCTCTTATTCAGATGATCATGACCAGGGGGAACTAGATTCTGTCTATTCTTTATTTCACATTGTCTAAGGAAATGCCCCTCATGGTTAACTAGGGTTGTAAGTGTCTTTCTTTAATTGCTTCCCATCCTCTTTCCCTTGCAATTATTGGCTGGAGAAATCAGAATCTTTCAAAATGACAAAGGAAATTAAGCATCCACTGAAAAGAGCCAAGAATCCAAATGCAAAGTCAATTATTTATTCAAGTGTGAAGTCATTTATGAACTACTGGCAGTCTAGTTAAGTACCCCAATATTTTCTAGGATATAGTAATAAGTTCGAAAATACCAATATAATAGAAGATGTTAAACTGGTCAGAATAGCTCAAAATCCTTGATGATATCTTGTATAACCAGACCTGTCACCCTTTTGGTGTCTTTGATGATGGCAATATAACTAAGAACCAAAATAGGTAACAGAGAGCCATCATGAAGTTAAATTTCTTAAACAAACATCATAAGATACTTGAACAAGTAATTAATGTACATTCCCATCACAGTTTATTGAAAGATAAAGGAAAAGAAAATCTAATATACCTGAGACACAGAAGGTATGTAAATGCAAAGACAGTTACTTAGGAACACTAAGTTGGGTCAAACCCTAGGGTAAGATAGTGTTTTGACATGAGAATTTTTCCCTCGGATGTTCAAATTCAAACAAAGAATGTCCTCTTCCTTAAGCCCTCCATCGGCTTACCTTTCCACCCTCCTTAATGTTCTCTTGTGTGCTCGCCGCGACCACTTGATCCTGGCCTTTGAGTCTCTAATCCTTCTTCCCAAAAGATTTCTTGGGCTTTGATTCTTTTTGTATAACCTTTTTTCATAACAAACTCCACAGGATGTCATCTTCATCATTCACCTTTGGATCTCATTAAGACCTCTACTTCCAACTTTGTTCAATTCGAAGAAAAAAAATTGTAGGTTTGGAGGAAACCCTAGGCTTTATGCCTAATCAATAGGTTGCTCCGGCCTTTAAGTCTCTAATCCTTCTTCCCCGAAGATTTCTTGGGCTTTGATTCTTTTGGTAGAGCCTTTCTTCATGACAAACTCCACAGGATGTCTTTTTCATCATTCATGTTTGAATCTCATTAAGACTTCTACTTCCAACTTTGTTCAATTCAAAGAAGAAAAATTGTAGGCTTGGAGGAAACCCTAGGCTTCATGCCTAATCAATAGGTTCCTCATACTGGCCCCTCCTTTGCATGTTTTACAAAATGTTTTATCGAAAATTTGGTCAATTCTCTCTTCTCTATCGATTCTTGATTTAGAGGTTGGTTTCTTCCTATTTTGTTTTCAATATGAATCTGATGCCATCAAAGTCCTTACCGAGGGACCTTGGAACCTCCATGGGGATGTTCTTCAACTTATATCTTGAAAATCTAATTTCCAACCCAATGATTGAAAGAATCGATTCTGCCCCTTTGTGGATACGACTCCTTGGATTACCAATGGAGTAAAGGAATGAAGAAACACTCTTTCAAACTACTACTCTTCTTGCTCACCCTATTAAAATTGATCCTAACTCTCTAAGTCTTACATGGGGTAGATATGCTCGGATTTATATTAAAATAGACATTACCGACCCTCTTAAGTAAGGAGTGTCAATTGAGTAGCAAAATACTAAATTTTTTCATATTAGTACCCTATCAAAACCTTCCTCCATACTATTATCATTGTGGTCGGCTTGGCCATAAACCCATTCTTTGTCTCTTTAAATCTAAAACCACTCCATCTTCTATCTCGATTATCCTCCTTTGGACAACGACCCATTAGTGAAAACTAGGTTTCAACCAAGGATGGATATTCCTAAGGATTCTACTGACTCTTTAACTTTGGCTCATGGATTCGTGTTCAACGTCATCCTTTTCGTAAAAAAACTCTGACCAAACCATCACTATCAGAGACAAGGGTAGGGATCATTGGGAGTCAACACATGATACTCACATGACAGACCCAGTTGTTTTCTCTTCCCCTAACGGCTCCTTGCCACCGGTGGTTATCCCGTTACACGGTGCCATTCCCCACCCAACAACTGGTGTAACTTTTCATAGCATAAATTCAAGAGCCAATCCACCTATCCCATTATCTCTAGAAAGGTGTTTGTAACGTTTAATCCGAAATCATTCCAAATCTCTTCAGCGTGACAGATGGTAGAAAAGTTACTAATGACTAATGTCTCATTGGATTCAGGCATTCATTGCATGGATCAGATTTTACCAGATGCAACTATGGATGTGTATACTCCTCACTCGGATCTGACTCCAAATCCGAATGACACGGAGGCTTTACAAGTATATCACACCACCTTAAACCCTAATCCTTTTAACACTAACATTTCCTGTACTTTTATTGCCTCTGTACTGGCTACGATGGAAGTCGAGGAAGATATATAACTTCAGAGGCACGACCAATTGTAGCAAAGGTGTTATCCACCATACAAGCACATAATGTCTCAAGTGATTCCTCCTTTCACTCCGCGGAGGATTCCGACCTTCTTCGTGATCACGTGGATCATCTCAACAAACATATCCCACCTAGGTCACACTCAAGAGCATCCAATCGAGCAAGTTTAAAAGCTATTAGTGGAGTAATAAAGGGTAAAAGAAAACTCAAATTTTTTTAATTTTTGAATATAATTTACTTGTATATGTTACTTGTCTAGATGGCTTGGATCCCTTTAAAATTTTCTCCTAATGATAATATTTCGCTGGAACTGTAGAGGTTTAAAAAGAAAACTAGTGCAAGAATATCATGCATATATCTGTCACATAAAATCCTGTGTTCATTCTCCTACAGGAAACACATGCCACTACTGAACAATCAAATAGAGCTATTTAAAGACTCGGGAAACACTGAAAAGGGGATTTCTATCCTTCTATTGGAGCTTCTAGTGGTATATTATTAGCTCGGTCTATTAATTTAGCAAATGTTCAGGTGCTATCTAAACACCCTTATTTTATTCATGAAATAACTCAATTAAATAATGATAAACCTTGGTTTCTGTTAGGTATTAATGCTAGTACTTCTGTTGTTTATAAAAATAATGAAATTCTCTTTCTGATTTAAACTTCTTCGACATTTCTTGGTGTATTTTAGAAGATTTCAATTATATTTTAAATTCACATGATAAAATTGGTGATAAAATATTTGTTATTAACTGCTCTACTTGTGTTTTCCATGAATTTATAAAAAAATATGATTTAACTTATTTAAGTTTTTCTAGTTCTAATTATACATACTGTATTAATCATACTGGCTATGCTAGAATCTCTGTTAGATTAGATTGTGTCTTTGGTAATTTTATCGTAGATGAATATTTATGGCAAATTTTCTGTTTATCATTTTTTTAGACTTCATTCTGATCATGATCATGTTAAATATTAAGTCTACTTAGTTAATTTGTAATAATTTTTTTTATTATTGATGGGCGTATTCGTACAGTTTTGTCCTTTCGGAACATGTGAGCTCCAAAAGGTGCCTCTGAAGGTAAGGGAGACCTGGCGGACTTATGAGCCCTTGATTCTCATACTCCTCAACCAATGTGGGACTAAATGACTTTATCAGTGCTCTCTCCCATAGGGGAACTAAGGGCTTATAACCAAGGTGCACGACTCGGGAGCGAGTTTGCTTGGCCGAGGTGTAGGCCTCGGGCCCTCCTTCTAGCGCTAATCAGATAGTGGTCCCTTACATCGTGGCTGAGGAGTTAACACGGCTTGGTTCGGTCCCGAGCGTGCAAGATCATCCATGTCGATACTCGGGCGACGAGAGTCGTCGTCTGATGGGGTCGAGCTTGGGCTTTGGCTTCGAGATTTGGAGACACCCTTTGGCTGGCTGCCCTCCTCTCTATCGCTTGTCCCTACACATAGGTCGGGGTCGGGAAGGGGACTCCCGACTCCGACCCCTCCGAAGATTTTATTAGAACTGGGTGGAAAATAGCCCAAGAACCAATCTCATCGCCGGCCCCACAATAGGTTTTTTATCCTCCACCCCGGGGACCGGCCGTATCTATCGTATTTATGGCTGTCGACCCATCGGGCGGCGGACCGGTGCCATCCCGACTTTTGTGGGTCGACGCTGTACTTGGTCGGCGTCGTCCCGACTTTTGTGGGTCGACGTTGTACTTGGTCGGCGTCGTCCCGACTTTTATGGGTCGGCATCGTCCCGACTTTTGCGGGTCGACACTATACTCAGTCGACGTCGTCCCGACTTTTATGGGTCGGCGTTGTACTTGGTCGGCGTCGTCCCGACTTTTGTGGGATGGTGCCATACTCGGTCGGTGCCATCCCGATCTTTGTGGGACGACGTTGTACTTGGTCGGCGTCATTCCGACTTTTGTGGGACGACATCATCCCGACTTTTGTGGGACGACATCGTACCCGATCGGCGCCGTCCTGATCTTTACGGGACGGTGCCGTAGTCGGTCAGCGTCGTCCAACCATTGCGGAACGGCGTTGACCGGGGTCGTAGTCCGTTATGTTGATCTTGACACTGACATGGCTGTGAACAGTGGTTGGTGGGCAGGTTACCAAAATGTGTCCCATCAATTATCAAAACTTCTAGACATAATACCATGAAACTACCCATTTGATTAACTCAGTTTGAAATGTTCCACATATCCAACCTGATCCCCTCTCAGCTTTTCACAACTAGTTATGTTATACTTGTAGAGTCCTTTTCTAATTGGAATAAGCATAACCTAGGGAAACATAAAATGCATCTTGATAATAATTAGAGACCCATAATGAATTTAGAATCACAATTAGATAAAAATAACAATATTGACACCTTGGACATTTTAAAACTCTCCTTCCTTTATAATTACTATGTTATTATAATCAAACAAATTATTCTTAAGTGGTGGGCCAAAGCTAAATGTCTTTGGCTATATGATGGTGACAAAAATATCAAATATTTTCATACCCTTGTCACTTGTCCTAGGCACAAAAATTATATCAAAGGAATTTATGATAATAATAATACTCTTATTTAAGATAATAAAGTTATTTTAAATTTTTTCTATCCAACATTATACCTATCTTTGGACTCACTCGGCTTCAAACTCATTAGGTCAACACTCTCTTCCTACTCTCCCTACTTTAACTACTATTGAATCAGATTCTTTAACCAAACCCTTGTCTGTGGAGGAAATTTTTATTGCTGTTAAATCCATGAGATCAGGGAGAAGTCCTAGTCCTAAGAGTTTTACAACTGAATTGTCTTAATCATACTGGTCTACACTAGCACTTCACTTCTTTGAGGTCTTCCGACATTTTTATCAAGATGAATACATACCTCCTTCCTTGACGCAAATATTCCTAACATTTATTTCAATAACTAAAAACCCAACTTATGTTACCAATTTCTGCCCTCTAGCTCTCTCAAAAGAATATTAGCCAAGGTCTTAACAAATAAACTAAAACCTTACTTTTACAAATTAATTAGTTATGAGCCGTTTGCTTTTCTTCCTAGAAGAAATATACATAATAACATTATTATTGCACAAGAGGCTACTTATATTCCTTTAAAGAAAAAAACCCTTGTTCTTGTTAAATTAGATATTGAAAAAACTTTTGACAGATTATCTTGGACTGTTGTCCTCAAAAGTATTTTCCTCCATGAATTTCCTCCCTTATATATTAATTGGATTAAAACTTGTCTTTCTTCGCCTATCTTTTCTTGCCTTATAAATGGTGAAATCTTCAAGACTTTTATCAATCATTGTGGCGTCCGGCAGGTGAACCCGAGTCACCTTATTATCTTAGTTGCATAGATTTTAACTCAACTATTAAATCAAGCAACTAGAAACTAAAGCCTACCTCCCCTTAGCTTCAAACTCAAATTCCAAAATTAATCATATTATATTTGTTGATGATATTTTATTTCGTTTTAATACTAATTCTAAGTCTTACAATACTATTAAAAATTAAGACTTATAAAGAGCTTACTAATTAGATTATCAATCTTTTTACCCCCTAAATCTACTCTAAGATCCACTAAAAATCTTATCTATTCTGGCCTTGGCTTTAAAGAAGGATCATTCCCTTTGAAGAAGGATCATTGCAATACCAACCCATATCGTCCGGTGCGGGCAATACGTACCGGCCCGATAGGAGATCGATATGCGGATTGCTCTCTATTGGATGGTACAATAATCTAATCTCGTATCAGATAATACAGGGTCTATACCGGGTGGTAACGATTGAAATCTAACTGTTAACGACTTGTATTAGTCGGTAATGATCGAATTTCGATTATTACCAATCAAGGACTGAAATCACCCTATTCCAAAGGGTCAAATTGACCGTTTGAACCATAGTAAAGGGTTTATAAACTTTTTCCTCCCCCCCTCTTTCAACTTATATCACTCTCTTAATCTCTTTAACTCCCCTTAAACTCATTCTTACTCATATCAATAATTTAAATAATTTTTTTATAAATAATTTAATCTTAACGGAACGATGGTTCCATTCGTATTACAAAGCTATTCTTCAAAGTTCGAAAAAGATATGCATCGTTATTCTTTACTAATTTAGATTATTTTTGCTAAAATTATACTAAATTTATATTTATTTCTAGCTTAAAAATCTTAATTTAATTTTTTATTTTTTAGATATTTTTGAAGTTATTTTTAATATTGTTTGGGTGTATCGTTGGTATGCCTCGATACATACCATACTGACCATTGATCGGTACACTGGTATTGACCGAAATTGTAAACCTTAGGAGCAACTATAACTGCTAAAAGAATTCCCCAATCAACTCATGATGAAATTCTTAACAAAATCAAAACTAAACTTACCACCTAGAAATGTAATAATCTCATAAGCTGGCTGATTTATCTTGATTAAATATATTTTAACTTCTATTCCTTTACACATTTTTAAGTGTTACTTGGTTGTAAGACAGTTTCCTCCACAAAATTCAAACATTAATAAAAAAAATTTCTTTGGTTAAATAATTCTCAAAACAAAGGCTTACATCTTATCAATTGGAACACTGTTACCTCTCAAAAAGATCATGGTGGTCTTAATATCCAAGGCATCATTGCCTTCATTGCCTTTAGAACTACTTTACAAGCTAACTGTCTCAATCATTATCTTAATAATGACAGTAGTATATGAAATATTGTTCTTCACTTTAAATATGATCAAATTCACCCATGGAACATTCCTAAATATACTCACTTTAGCTAGAGTTAGAAATTATTCATTCGAGCAATGTCTGAACTTAAAAGGGTTTTTTTTTTAATACAATTAGGTAATAGGCAATCCACATATTTTTATACAGATCCTTGATTGCTTAGTATACCCTTGATTCGCATTCCTACATTACTTGATGTTAATATGATACCAACATATATTAAGGTTGATGGATTAATCCAATCTAGTAGTTGGAATACTCGGTTGTTATTGGATATGTATACACCTAAATTGATCTCTACCATTAAGGCTATAGATAATTACTTAGTTTCCTTGTGAGGATAAATGGATCTGGAAGGATCATCTATTAGGGAAGGCAATATCATTTGTTGCATCCCAAACCTGAATCATGTTGGTATGGTTGGCGTAGTCTATGGCAGGTCCCAGTTATTCCTAGAATTCATATCTTTTGTTGAAAATTATTGCATAAACACCTACCTACTGCTGTTTGTCTTCTTCCTCTTCATTACAACGTTCAACCTGTTTGTCCCCTTATGCCTTTCTCATCTGGAAACCATTGAACATCTATTCTTTCAATGACCTTTTCTATCAAAATATGGAACCTTTGGGAAATTAACCTCAGTTTTACTTTTCTTTACAAATAATCATGGAATATTAGTGAATGGCTAAAGAAGGAACCCATCTAGGATTGAAAAAACTGCTTCAAGAAGCAATAGCAAACCAGTTGTGGTTTATTTGGAAAATGCGGAATGATGCACTTTTTAACCAGAAAAAACCTTTCATTATATGGGCTTGGGCCAATGCTATGGCCCATATTGGTTATTATGCTATAAACATTTTAAGGGACTAGACTGAATAAAAAAAAGGCAAAAACCAGCTGCAAGTTGGTTTCAATTTAACACAACGGCTCCTCCCTTTTGCGTGATGGAGGCAGGGGGATTCATCACTAGAAATCATCCTGGAGACTACTACATTGCAGCGGGACAAGAAGACATCCATAATAAATCTGACATGCAATGTGAAGCTCGTGGTCAAATTAGATCTACAATCAGTAATTTCCAGACATATCACCCAACTATCAATCAAAGTTGACTCTTCTACTATTGTAGATCTGCTGAACCGAGATGGAAAAGCTCCTTAGGCTATTGCTCACACCATTAAAGACATAAAGAAACTGTTGCACCAACTAGAATCATATATCATTACCCATTGTTTTCGGGAATGCAACAGGGCTGCTAAAGCTAGAGTTGATACAAATCAGTCTTCTGTGGACTGATTCTTTCCCCTTTGAGCTTTCCTCCATTCTATATAATGACCTTCATAAGTCTTATTGTAGAACTGACAACTTAATAAAATTTTATTTTTACTCCAAAAGAAACAAAGGATGACATGGCTACTCTATGTCAATTTGGATATATGCACTCACAGGAATTAGTAGACAAGGGGTAACATGGTGATGATACAATGAGTAACCTCAAGATTCAAACTAAGAAGATACAGAGGGAAAAACATGGAATTCAGCTTGAATTCATATAAACATGTATCTCAACAAAACGTGAAAAAAGGTTCCCTGAACTTCTGCAACTATTTACATTAAAGATAATGTATCTTGACAAATACATACCAAGTGACTAATCATACATTATTTGGTAATAAACACATGAATTATAAAAAAATAACTGAATATGTCCACCTACAAAAAGGCAGCACAGACTGAGCTTCAGATCAAGCCTTGTATGTTAGAAATTTATACTACATGAACTATTTATGATATACATGGCATTAGAATGTATCAAGATCTATCAGTAGATGGATAGATAGTAAAAGATTCATTATATGAAAAGTGAGGCATCCAACTATAAGGAAAGCAGTATATATCATTCTTCAGATTGAGGTTTTGCTTTAAGTTTGTACGAATTACGAAATGTACAAAAAAAAAAATCAAATATGTGACTAGAAAGAAAGACAGGATGAACATAAAGGACATATATATATCATCAGAAAATGTTTTGTTGACATATGCCCCAAACATCACCATATCTCAGTGATCTTCAGGTAAACCAGATTGCTGACCCATGAATCTACCTTGTCAAAACCATCATCCTGGTAATTCACAGCTGAGTGTGTGATTTTAGTAACATCTAGTTCAGATTGTTATGCAAGTCAGATTAGATTCTTTTCATACAACAAAAGTGGGCAAATCAGAGAACAATGATCAATTATGAATTGTCTGTTCTCATGGAAACAATTCTTCATTAATGTTCCATACGTAACAGGCTAATACCCCTATAACTTAATTTCCATAGTCTGAAATCTAAGTTGTTTGAGTATAAATACCAAAAGATCATAATCTGTCCCCATAATTTATTTAGAACTTTTAGGATAAGTACCACCAAGACTCAGGTGCCACATCAATTATTTGTACCAGTATTTCCAACCAAAATTTTTATAGAATTATTCCTAAAGTCACTTGAAAACATAGTTTATATTAATCATAGCAAACTGTGTCTTGAAGAATAGGAAAACTCTTACCAATAAGATTTATGATAGTAACAAATAAAAATATATAATAATACCTGATTTGGGTCATCATGCTTGCCAACATATCTATCTTCTTTCATAAAATTCTTGTAGCGGTCAATAGTCTTCTCCAGGCTGGATTAAGGTAAATGATCAGTCAGCAATTCAACAAATGGATAAAACAAGAAACAATTTATAACAGCATGTACACTCGACGTGAGCTTATAATCTCCTATCTCATCCTTGATCTTAAGGTGGATATATATCTAAAGCATTTCAATGACCAACAGTTCATTACACGAATAACATTGTTCCAATATAATAGGGTTCGTCGTACATGGTATATTCCTCAGTATGAGCAATACGGGACCGATACGGACCAACCTATACCAAATGATATATACTAGAAGGTTTTGTATCATCCGATACGGGTCTGTACTACTTGGTAATGATCATATTTGGTCGAAATCTAATCTTTACCGACCTGTATCGATCGATAATAATTAGATTTTGATCGTTACTGATGGACGGCTTAGATCTGAACATTTCCAACGGTCAGATACATATAAAAGGGTTTTTAAATCCTTTCCTCCTCTTTCATCCCTTTCACTCTCTTAATATCTTTTTCACTCACTTCTTTTATCTTATTTTCACATTTGCACTCTCTTAAAACTTCACAAAACTATGATTTATGAATTAGATCAAACTTGGGAGGCTAATTAGGAAAGATTAATACCTAAGTTAGAGGAAGAACTCTCTAATCAAAGGTACGTAGGCAACTTCTCAATCACATTCAGCAACTCGCTCGGTTTGAGATATGATAGCGATGTGTATAGTAGTATCGTGATCGATGATGGTGGCAACATTAGAGAGTCGATGGTCCCATCTACATAGTTTGAAGGTGTTGCATGGATCGATAAGTAATATTTTAAGCATGCCACCCAAGATCCAGAGTATGGAGCATGACATAATAGTTGGTCATTCTTCTTCGAGCAACGATGATAACTAGTCATTCTTCTCCAAGAAATAGTACTATGCGATCTTATGATACGAAGCAATAGATCAGTGGCAAAAGTAGAAGTTCTGGCACTCTCCATATTTTGCAATAATACATGGCACAATTGTACTTACCTTAGGAGTCGCCTTGAACACGTATGGTTCACGACGATCAAATTATGACCATCACTACATTGATGCACCAATGACATACAGTGTATGAGTATATTATATCGTGGGATTAATTTGAATTAAGTCTGACAAACATATCAAATTGATATACCGATACAAAGGATTCAAGACTCTGATTCATCGCCTGTGGAATTCTGTCATTCTTTTTTGTGGTAGAATCAAGTATATCCATCGATTGATTATTTAATTTATTTAAATTTTACACTCATAGATCAAGTAAAAACCAGCAAACAAAGTTTAGAACAAACATATTTGGTATCCACTCAAGGTTTGATCAGGTGAAGCGGTGCTAATATTCCAGTTAGGTTATAGTTTCCATTAGGTCAATTAAAACTTCCCTTATTGGTAGATTAGACCATTGCTTGATAGTTTATATAAAAAAATTTATATAACATGAATTGTCTGGCAGAAAATTTTAAAATGTTTGAATCTAAATTTATCGGTGCATTTGTTAGCTTTTCAGTCCACTGCACAAATGGAGTTAATTCATTTATTTTGTTCTTCACTGTAACATCCGTAGCTTTTCACAGTGTGAACCCTTTTCTTGTAACATAGACATTCATAGAACGTCCTCATCTCTATTTCTCTTAAAGACAATTGGAAGGAAATCTGTACAGCTGCACTAGGAATTCATTATACAGGATGAGAAATGAAATCAGGCAAAGATGATACTAGAAGAGAAACAATAAGTGCAGAACAATAGAATAGACATCAAAGAGAAAAGAGAACACTAACAAAAAGAAAAGAGAAACAAAAAAAAAAATGATAAACAAACTGCAAAAGAATAAAAAAAACCATTCAAACCAGAAAGTCATTCGGATATCAGCATTCATTGTGCATCCACCCAACATGGTAAAAGTTTTGTTCTGAACCTTTACCAATTGCATATGTGCTGTAGTACCTTGTAAACTTAAAAAAAATATCGGGAAGTACTTTCTGACTATCCAAGAATAGTATGAAATATAGCTGGCTTTAAGCTGCCTAATGCACAAGAACTGCATGCTTTTTTTATTTTAACCATCCTATTAGCAACATGATGTATCACATGGATCTATATAACATGACTAGTTGGTATAAGTACACCTGATACATGCAGATAGGATCCTGGTTCACAATATCATCCCATTCGGGTTGATAATTACAGTTTCAACAACCAATTGATACATGGGTTTAAGAAAATCAAATTGGTACATAGTATCGGGTTTGTATTGCCCAATATATTTTATAGCCCTGTATCATTTGATACACTATATAGGATTTGTACCATGATACAGTTTTCCTTTGAGAATTTTTTTTGTTTTACACTATATAGGATTTGTACCAGATACAGTCTTTGTATTGAGAATTTTTTTGTTTTTCAATCTTCTTTTTAGGATCTTTTGAAGTCTGATACAGAATGATGTACCAACACATAGAATATTGGTATGAACTACTATGGTACCAATCCGAACCTTGACAAATATGATACATGAAATTACGAATGTTGGGTGTGACAAATATGATAATAAATAGGTATCAAATCAATATTGATGTTATTGAAACATGTTTTAAAATATTGAAAGCAAGCATATTAGAAATAAATTGTACCTGACCATGGACCTATCGGTAGAGTTATTGATTTATATCAAAATCAATTCTTTTTTATTTTAGATAGATGTGACAATTATCTTTTCTTTTTCTCTCTCTCTTTAATGTGCTTACTCTCTTATTTCCTACACCTCCTTTGTATCATTATTTCTTACTACTCTGCTCCACCACATAATTGATGCTCCCACCCCATTCAGGATTTTGTCTCTGGAACTTTTTACCGATATACTTCCTTCTACGTCTCCACTTCTTCCTCTTCATCCCCCAAAGTCGTTATATTCTCATTTTCCTCTCCTTTTCTCTATTTTATATTACTATGGAGTTCGTATATTCATTTGTACCAATATAGTAGCAATGAATATTAAATTTTTACATATTGTATTAAATTTTATGATTAAGAAAAAAAGTAAAAATTAGTTCATGTGATAATTATTGTTTCTTTTCTCTCCTATTAAATTGTCTTTGTTAAGGAACATGTCATTAATAGGAATTTAGTTAATGAAAATTTGAGTATCTTTTTGACTTAATAGTTGATATTATCCTCCTTTCCTCCTTATATTATTCTAGGAGATTACTATTTATAATCTTTTTTTAATATTCACACTCATTTTAAAACTTTTTAATATTTTTAAATTATCTCTTTGCACATGACCATAAATACTCTTCTCTTCTTCCTTCTCCCCTTCCCCTTCTTCCTCCACGTCCTCCTCTTCTTATTCTTCCTCCTCATAAGAGAAAGGCATTGAGGGGGCGACAAGCAGGATTAGACAACAATAAATAGCAACGAGGATGGAATAAGGGGTTGTGAGAAAAAAAAGAAAAAAATGATAATATTGGGACTATAAATAGTAAAGGGTTGTTAATAGTAAAAAGTGTTGTGAATTGTAAGCTTCTTATTCTATCTTAGATAGCTTTAAATCGTTTCTTAGATCTTTTTGTTCTGCCACTTTCAATTTCTTTTTTGGATATTATTTTTTCTAGAATGATAAAGATCCGATATTTGCACAAAGAGTTGTCCTTCCTTTTTGTTTGTATTTCTCCTTTCATCACTCATCGCCAAGGTATGCTTGGTGGTTGTCGTGAACCATTCTAATAACAAGCCGACATGTCAATGGTGCTATAACATAGTCCTTGTCAACAATACTAAATACAAAGTTCTTATTTATTTGCAAGGCTTACATCATGTAATTACAATATCTTGGCTTTCCCTTTCCAACTTGCAAATTTCTATTATCTCCTGCTGGTCAATGTAACCCAACAACTTGTATTTATTCCTGCCATCCCAAAAGAGACTAGTAGCCAAGGCACGTAAGCTCTAAAGATTATTTAGATGGGCACTCTAACCTGACCTACTATTCTTTGCCAAACATTAAGTTATGGTAAAGGATAATGCCCATATTGATTATAACAAAGCGTTTATAAGCTACTAATCCCTTTTAGTATTTATTCATGGAGATTCATGTATTATGTAATTTTCTATGCAGTCCTTAATTTTGATTGGAATGAACATTTCACCTGCATGATAATACATGAGACTGGGATTTTTGCAGATATATTTTTTTAAATTTTTATGAAGGTTTCCTAGGACATGGCTCCTTGCGCTTGCAAGGAGGCCAGTAGAGCCATCATCCATCTTCCACTCTAGTACACCTCTCCTCCATGCCTTCTCCTTTTCTTCTTCCTCCATAAACAATTCAAGATACGTTTCAACCAATTGAAATTTCATAGTGTATCGATATACCGAGCTTTGCTCGGTACGATACAATACGAGCAATATATGGCCTCAGACGAGTAGAAGAACATGGTCTCCTTCATCTCCTCATTTGCGGCGTTTGATGAAGAAGGCGACGAAGGGTGCAGGAGTCTCCAGCCTTCGGCGAAGAACGCACCAAAGACTCCAGCCTTCGGTGAAGAACGCACCAAAGAAAAAGCTGCAGAATCACAGACGAGGCGATGAAGGAGATCGCCTCTTCCGTTACTCTAGCCGCCGCTTGGCTATTACCTTCTGGATCAGGATCGTTGAGGGAGAGCGATGCCGAATCGGGATACATCGAGGTTCTCCCTCTTCTTCGAATGCTCTCTTTCTTTTTCCTTCTCCTTGGATGCTTCTTCTTCCCTCACCACAACCAGGCTAATATCGCCCGGTAACGGGCAATTATAGTCGAAATCGACAATTACCACTCGAAACAACCTTATATCGTCCGATATGGGGCTTTATCGAGTGGACCGCCCGTTAGTGCGCGGTCCGCATACTAGTTCATGGGTGGACTGATTCGTACCACCCTATATGGGTGGATCGATTTGTACCGCCCGTATCAAGTGGTACGATTCGAAATCGCAAACCCTGGTTTCACGGTATG